TGTAAACCAAACAAAGGAAGAAATGTCACAAACTTGACTTCATTATACGAGTTTTTTCCACCACTTTTTCTATTGACAAAAAGTGATAATATTCGAGCGCTTCACACGTTCTACGCAACCATAACAGTTGTTCTGAACAAACCTGAACACAGAAGTTGCAATCTAAAGATGAGTTTCATAATCCCTCCTAGTGCACGTTGCGCGCCAAAATTCATATTACAATTAGTAGTACTACAGAATGGCACAGACTTACCCGTATTAGTTTTATATTTCCTTCGGTCTCTGTTAGCTATTCGAACTTCCCACATATTATTGCCTGCTGCCATCTTTTACATTCAAAGTACATTTTTTTGGACATTGTCTAAATTTTACTACTAATAGAAGGGCAATATTATTTCAAGAATATTAAAGAACAGTAAACCGTGACCTAAATGGCAATTTTCTTCGGCTCCAAACATTACGTTTTTAAAAAAACTGGACTTTTAAGCGCTACTGTTAATTCCAAATTGCCAGCTCCTTTTCTTAGAATTTTTTTGATTTTTCGAAAAACTTCATTTGAAGTCATTTCAAGTTCTTTAACTCACAAATACAATAGTGTTTACAAATTGCTGGAAATGTGCATATCATCGGCGTGACAGATCTTTCAAAAAAATTACATTTGTGTAATTTTTGAAGAAACAAAAAAATACACACAAATTAACTTTACGTCATATTAAAGAGTGCAATTATCTCTATCCATTCGAAATGTCTGATGAAAAAATTTGAGGACTTTTTCAGAAAATGTCGTTTGAGCGTTTCTGAAAACGAAGTATTTTTCAGCTAGTTTTCACAGAAAACTGTTGAGTTTTCGAAAATCTTTATAGGACATTATTTAAAGCACATGAACTCATAAATACCGAAAAAATGCATTCTTTTGAAATTTTTGAAAATTCAGAGTTAACCGTCAGTCCTATGCCACGTTTATACGAGTATGTTGCACTGTTCTTACAAGAAATTTAAAGAAAAACTTTGGAGCCGTTTTTGAGCAAATTTTGAACCTTTTTTTCAAAATCTGGAAGATTCTCGACTCGAGCCAGATCGGCAAGTGATTCTTCAATTTGAAAACCATCATACGCATGGTTTATGAGCTAGTAGTGTTCACAGACAGCAGACAGACGGACGTTTTGAGGAAGAAGAAAAAAAATTCAGTATGAGGGATCATCAAAACGTGTATTTCCGACAAAATACACGTTTCCCACAGCATTACAAAACTTTTCCTATAAAAAAGTATATTACTCCGTATATACGTTTGTATACGAGAAAGAAAAGATGTGCTCGCAGACACAATCGTGTCGCTTGGGAAAGAGCCTTTTAACAATCTCGCCAATAAATTTTACTAAAAGATAAATGGGTTAACCAATGAGAAAAGTTAATATACTGCAGAAGCTCGATCGCGGAGTCGCGCACAACCTCCAGTGAAATATACCGTTTGTAAGCTTTCTGCTACAGATCAATGAAAGCTGTTCCTAAGAGCAGGGATGGCTTCACCCTGCGCAGAAGGAAGTGTGGGAGATTTGCCCTACAGTGCCGCACGCGACGATGCTGCGTGTCATTCTGATCTGCCCTAAAGAATGAAGCCGAGAACACCTTGGAGGTATGGGGGCTGTCGGAGATGCTCGCCGTGGTGACCTGAGCACGACGGTTCAAAGAAGACATGCATTTTCGGGATACTTGACAGCGTTATCCTCTAGGGTATCCAAGCCTCGTTTTTAAAGGTACCATGAAGGCGCCCAAAGACGTTCAGGTTTATTT